GTGAGGACAGAAAACATTTCCTTCGGCATCGATCAGTGGACTCGGATCGTAGCGACACGGCGAGCAGATGTGGATGTCTTTATGCTGAGGCAAGGCTTTGAAATATTTGGGTTTGACTGGCTCTATGGGCACTTCCGGGTGCATTGGCATTGAAGACGTTGGCTTGCTGCAAATGCCACAAGCTCCTATTTTTGGTGGTTCTTTTGGAGCACGATATTTGTTGCAAATTTTACAGCGGTCGGCTGTGGCTTCGCCTCTGGAACTAACAGCTGGGGTCTTTCCTCTAGTGCAAATACCACAAGGACCCACTTCTGTTTCGATTGGCGGGGNCTTTGTCTCCGGGACTCTCAACAGGTGTGCCATCTTTTGGGACATCTAATTCAACTGATTGGTGAACTGGTGGAACAAGTACCACCAGCGAATTCTCTGTTTTTGTAGACTTTCCACTCGGTCCCTTTAACGGCGGCACCGCTGGTAATTCGCTTGTTTGTGGCGGTTGTAGCGGTTGTAGCGGTTTTGTTGGCTGTGGCGAACAAATACCACACGCAGGTTTCTTAGTCGATTCCGGCTGCGTATGTGAATGCTCCCCCCTACGCCCACATAAAACACACACACCTTGGCTAGCTGTTTCCGATAACAAAGCACCCACAGATGGCACCGAAGACGTTGCTATTGTGGCCACGAACGGTCCTTGAGTAACGGGAGCTTGCTGTAGCTCGATCGTTCGTTTCGACGCAGTCGAAGCGGTAGCTACTTCAGGTGTACCTTCAGTCGTCAGGCGTGCCGATGTCGGTACTTCCATTTGCACTTTTGACGCAACCACATGAGCAGCCGGTACTTGCATGAGAGAGTCGTGGGGGACTTGTAAAGGCAATGGAAGGAAACCAGGCTGCATGGCTGCCATTTGCTGCAACAAATCCGCATGAAAATTAGATGCTGGTGCAGGTCCTTCCATGGGTATGCCTATTAGATAACAATAAGATTATTTGTTTTTGATTCATAGGGTTTGGTCTATGTCGGCTTACTGCTCACTTCCGGACGTGGCGCCACTATAGTGTCTGTGCGTATTGGTTCCATTGACGCAAACATTTTGGCCATCTGGTCGTTATCTTGCACTGCTATATGCTTCCTGATTTCATATGATTGCTGGGACTCCGAATAGGGAAAGTTGTGCTGACGTTG